CCTCCTGAGTGCTGGGATTAAAGGTGTGTGCCACCAACGCCCGGCTCACTAAGCACTTTTTATACAATAAATATTTCTGGACCACAAGGTACTGGGACAATTTTCAATTTAGTTTAAACTCTACCTATAGAAAAATGCCACTTAGGTAAAATTGAGTAGCCTTGCCTGTCACTTGCTATTATGTTTTTTTCTCCCTTTAGGGTCTTGGGAATTTAACTAATGTCTTGTGTGTGCTAAACAAACATTCTAACACTGAGCTATGTCCTATCCCCTGCTTGTTTTTTTTTTTTTTTTAAACAAATGAAACTGAATACATTTTAAAATTAGATGCAAGGTTCTTGTTAGGACAACAGTCAAGACAATCAAATTTCCATGAAACCCTAAGGGGGTCTCAACACTCAGCACACAGAGCACAGTTTCTAAGAGCCACTTCAAAGACGCTGCACTCCTTTAAACCTGTTCTTGCTCTCCTCAGTTCAGCAGAAGCAGAATAGAGAAGAGAAGTTTTCCATATGCTGAGTAAGCCCCATACTTTGGCCTGGAGGCTGAAGCATGGGCCTTTACAGTCCCCTCTCATCCCTCTAATAAAAGTACCTGGGGCTTGGAATCTGAAGCAACAAAGCTGAGATACAGGTGCTCATAACACACTAGGGCAACCCTGCAGTAGACTGTGAATAGTTCGAATCACCCGCTCCCCCACCTGTAAACCGGAAAGGACTCCCCCACTTATCAGCTGTCTGAATCTTAACCAGTCTTCATGAAAGGACATGGCCAGAAACACCCAGTACTATTTTCCAGCTTCTAGTCCACGGGCTTCCATCTGCATTTCCATTAACTATGTTGATTAGGGTTTAAGTTCTCAGGTCAAGTGTTCCATAACTACTCGTGGTTAATAGCCACTAGACTGGGAAGAGATAATGGGAAGCATTTCATGGAAAACTCTGTGGCACAGTGCAAGTCAAAACTGAGTGTACATGATTTGACTTTAATTAAACAAGGGATTACCTAAATCTAAAGAATTATATGATATTAAAGCAGGTAAAAAGAGAAGTGTGGTGGGTTAGTATAGACCCAACGTATAAAAAAGAAGGCAAAAACATTTTACTTATCAGTAATATTAATTCTTCAATTATCAAAGTTCAAAATATAGAGACATTATGTTAAAGGTTACTATCTATTGAAATTTCCCAATGAGCAAAACCACAGAAAAGAATGTCCAAACAGACTTAGCCTTTCCTTTTCATAAATCACTATTTCTAAGGAGATATCAGGACACACAGATGAACACAGGCTGTCTTTGTGATGGGAAGAGGGACACCAGCATCAGTGTCTGCCCAGGACACAGAGGTCAGGAAATGTGACAGCCATGCCATTGAGGCCGATCACATCTGGTTTCTACCAAACATGTTCTATATATGCTCTGCTCCATTGCAGACATGTGAGGAGGTCACAGTGAAGGAAGGGTAAGGGCAAACAACACATCACTGAGTTTGTGGAAATAACGAGTTTCTTCCCTATTTTATGGGTAATGTCACTAAGTGGGAAGCTTCATGCAATTTATCCATGACAGCTTCATTAGGTGAATACCATGTGAAGAGGGCAAATGAGCCTAGCAGCAAGAGTGCCTCATCCCAGAGGACACTGCAGTAAAACTAGCAGCTGGGGCCTGTTCCTGCTTGAGTGTGTCTGTGTATGTGTGTCTGCACCTACGCCTGGAGTAGTTGCTGAGACTGAGTTGTTACACTGATAGAAGATGTGATGATGGTATCTATATTTGAGGTAGGTATATAGGTATTAGTAACACAAATGCACAAGAAGGCATCACAAAGCTAAGAGTCTGACCCTGTGGGGAGTGGTGACTTAATTGTTACTTTTATTGAAGCATCTGAATAACTGGAACAAGAAGGACTTTCAGGGAATAAGCCATTAGCAGCAGCTTAGAGTAGATTAAACCTAAGATAACCTAAAGGGGACCAATGGTTAGTTCAGAGAGACAGACTGAATTCAAAGTGAGTTGTCTGCAGCAGTTTGAAAGGATCTTGGAAAGACAGGGGCTATTAGTCTTCTTAATGAATGTTAGGAAATAAGTACAAATTTTGACTTGAATAATGGGCCTACTAAATTAGAGTAATAACTTTATTTGTAATGATTTTACCTTATAGATTCCTTAAATTAATAAAAAAGCCATTTAAATGCTAATTGTGGAAATTCAGGCAGTCCCCGAGTATCGGAAATGAAGTCTCTGTCCCTTTCCTTCCCTGGGACCTACCAATGTACTTGCTAAATGGGGCCACATTGTTAAAAGTGTATGCTCACTCTGAAGGACATTTTGGTTTTTGCAAAATATGTATTGTTAACTTACGCATGTTCACAATGTACTAAAAAAGGTTACATTATAGAATGAACACACTTTGAGACGTCATCAGGGAAGTGATGTACCATGGGGTCACTCTTAAGATATGTATTGTTTTAGTAGACCTGCAGCAATAGCAGCAGATGCAACAAAAGCATCCAATGGCCTTATCCTAACTACAGAACATAGATATCACAATGATATTCCATCTGTAATACAGTACTTAAGTCTTCCTCACTAAGGATCATTTTTTCTTAGATTCCGACAGTTAAGCTGAGGTTAGACACAGTGCTCGTCAGTTTATTATCCACACACACATTTTCTTTAATGCAATATGACTTACGACACTTGTAAAGCTGCATTTATTTCCTTGAGTAGCTCATTAGTCTTATTAAAATCTGCCCGCATGATATTTTTCTCTCTGATGTGGTCTGCTGTCATGACATCCAGCTCTTTCTCAAGTCTCTTGTTTATATCTTGCTCATGCAACCTGTTTAATTTATTTTTAGTTAAGAAAATGTTATTCTGAAGTCACGTTTTCAAAGAGTCTATGTTCTACCAGATTTGAAACACCCCCTTTTTGTTATAACATTTGGAAAATTAATGTAAACAGGTTAAGTTTACTATGTAGAAACTATGTAGTTTCCTGTAGTTGTCTGGTGAGTGTTAAATTTTGTCTCCTTTAATGCTTTTTCTAATAAAAAATTTTTAAAAAATCTTTCATTATGGTCATTTCCCAAAGTTAATGAAAATAAATATATCATAAAATGCAGATATTTTATTTTCCAGATGATATCATACCCACCACATACAGTGAAAAGTGGTCTTCTATATATTATTGGGAGGGCAGTCTAGTCACAAAACTAGGGACATATTGCTAAGCATGTCCCCAACAATATTTTAGTCAACAATGCATCTTCTGCTGTAGTTACTGGCATACCTCATCTGCTGGTTGGAGTCACTTCGTATTCTGAGAATTTCTTTCCCCTTAAGTTCCAGTTCTTTCGTTAGGGTACTTATGTTTTCATGGAGGTGCTGGACCTCCTTGTCCAAGTCTGAGATGTGGTGCTCTCTGTGCCGTAGTTCCTCTTGCAGATCACTTATTCTACACATGTGCTCCTTACTCTGCAAAAAAACAAAGCCTGCTAGAGTGTTCTCTATACATTTGTCTTCTGTGTTAATATGAGGGAGAGAAAATGACAGTTTTGAATATTAACTATAATAATTCTTATTATTATTTTAAGATGTTTTACATTTGTTTATGCTGTGGAACATTTGTTTAAAGATGCAAAGATGTGTTGAATTCTTTTATTTTGTGATGAAGCTGTGTTACTTTGTCTAAAACACCTGATTGGTCTAATAAAGAGTTGAATGGCCATAGCAAGACAGGAGGAAGGATAGGCAAAGCTGGCAGGTAAAGAGAATAAACAGGAGGAAAAATCTGGGGAGAGAAAGGATCTAGGAGTGAGAGAAGGAGGAGGACTCCGTGGGGGGGGAGGGGGGGCAGCCACCCAACTACACAGCAAGCTATGGAGTAAGAAGTAGAGAAAGGTATACAGGATAATGATAAAAGCCCAGAGGCAAAAGATCGATGGGATAATAAGTTAAGAAAAGCTGGCTAGAAATAAGCCAAGCAAAGGCTGGGCATTAATATGTCTCCATGTGTGATTTGTTTGGGGGGGTGGTGGTGGGCCCTGAAAGAGTAAAAAAAACAATATATACTCTAATTTTTCTCAAAGATAACTTATGATCAGTGGCAGAATCTGGAGTAGAACACAGGTCTCTTAGTAAGTTATATAGGTCTTATAGTAAACTGCTGGTACCACTGTCCTTTAATATCAAAAGGATTTTCAACTAGGGAACCCCACCCAACACACACATTCCATTCTTTGGAAAGCCAGCCTTTGCTGCTTTCACTGCTGTCCTAATAGCTTTCTGTCTAGAAAGATGTTCCTACAAGCCCATGCTTTCTGCACGCTCTGTAGAGATTGTCAACTTCACTGTGCACATAGCTGAGCAGTAACCTCCCTCTATGGTTACAGGAGGCCCATTTATCATAGCAATGAAGAACAAATCCAGGCTAATTCGTTAACCAACAAAGTGAAGTTTGGAAGTGTAATAACAGCAGCTTTCTCTGCAGTGCCAACCGCTGCACCCTTCCATACATATATATCATCAAATCACAGATTATCAAAGTAAAAAAAAGGACACTGGGCCAAAGAGCACAGTCTAAAAAGTATAAGCAGCGGTGGCTAATTCATACTTTGGGAATATGAGTTATCCTTCTTCTTTTTGGGGATCTACTCCTTCTGTGTAGTATACCATACAATGCAACTGTTTAATTAAGTCAAAATACATAAAATTGAAAATGCAGTTTCTTGGTTGTACTAGACAAACCAACTACCACAATGGACCTCCCAGACACAGAATGGTGTGTTGATTGACATGGCTAGTCCTATTGAATAGAGATGGTTTTACCCTTTATATTTTTGTTCACATTTTATTGTTTATTTTCTTAAGATGCAAACAAAATGCAAAATATTCAGTCAAATGGCCATAAACTAAAATGTAATTTTATGGCTGGTGTACAAAAGAAGGTTGCTCTTTTCCTGTGAAAAGGGAAACTTTCACCATGTTGATAATAACTAATGCAATTAGTACTTATTTTACAACATCCCCTCTCCTAGCGTGTGGGCTCGGTGGACCCAGATTTAAGGGATCAGTGTGGTGTGTTCACACTGACCTGCCTTCGGCTGATGTCTATGCTTCGCTCTAGTTCCATTTTAGCCGCTGCCAGTTCTTGATGGTGGTTGTGTCGTAATAAATCAATTGAAGCTGCATGTTGATGGTTTAGTTCAGATCGCAAGGAAGCTGGCATGCAAAGGGTAAGGGTTAGAAACGTCAAAATCCTACTAGTACCTTAGGAAAAGAACTACAAAAGATCCAGAATATAACTTTTAAAATTAGGATACTCAAAAATGTGCATAAAATAGATTATCAGATGTGGATTTGAAATTTACTTAGCTTTGATGAGGGTATGAAAAATGTCATGAACTTAAATGACAGGCGGGTTTTTTGATGAATTCAGCTGGAAGATAAAGTGGCAGTGGAGATGAAATACTTTGACTGTTTTATATTATTAAAATACTATGGATTTTAGAGTTGTACCTTTATAAATGTTTAAGAGTCAACTTTCTTCCCAGTAGGAATTATTTTACAACATCCCCAGAATACACAAAGTACTGGCTGAAAAACACTCTGAATTACCTGGAGGTCAGCCATCACCTTCAGTAGAGCTCAGAACTGACTTTCCATTTTATTTATTTTTAATATTTATTTATTTATTTATTTATTTATTTATTTATTTATTTATTTGAGACAGGGTCTCATGTAGCCAAGGCTGGTTTGGAACTCACTCTGCAACTGGGCCTTGAAATCTTCATTTCCTACATGTCATGTATGTCACATGTACTGGGACTACAGGCATGCATTATGCCTGGCCCTGGAATTAATTATACATATTAATTAATCATACAGTGCACATTTATTGAGTGACAACAGTATCCTAAGAGAGAATAAAATTTGATCCTGTCTTTATAACTTCACAAGCCAGAAGTGAACACATTATGCCGGGTAACTAACTGGTATATCAGAGGTTCATATCAAGTATAATGAAAACACAGTGGTGAAAGCATCCCAATTTCTGGGAGTCAGTGATTGGGGATCAATCACAGAGAGACTGTTATGGTGACTCTGTCTGCAATTCAGTGGGACTGAACTGGGGCTCCTAAGTAGAGGAGGAGGCACTTTTATCACTAAGACAGAACAAGCCAAAGAAGCCAGAATGAGGTCTGTCCAGAAAGCTGTGAAGTCTATGTGGCAGGAGGTCACAGGGTACATGGAGACATGAAGGAAATGGAACCTGCATAGCTTTTACTTTAAACCCTAGGTCCTCAAACTGTGATGTAAATGAGTTAAATGCAAACTGTGGGTTTTAAAGCTAAAACATGAGATCTAGTCAAAGAATGCTCCCCTTGCTTATAGTTGGCCAACTTAAGCTCCTGTTGAGACCTTGGCAGAGAACTTCAGTAAAGGGTACAGATTAGAAAATAGGTACAGCGAGAATATATAATAACATGGAAATGACCCAAGAAGGACAAACTGGCCAGATGTACACACAGAGAAAATAAGATGAGAGCCAGACAGTGACAATAGCTCAAAAGTTGGTGGTGGCCTCAGGGACAGTATGTTAATGAGAGTGATAGAGTAAACAGACCTGAAGGATCCAGAGAAAGACTAGTAGCTAGAATCTATAACTAGAATACTTAAAACTCAACAGTAACAATGACGAACCCAACCAAAAAAGAAGACGTGAAGTTGATGAGAACATGAAAAATATTCAACATCTCTATCCACTAGGGAAATGGAGAATAAAACCACAATGAGATATTATGACATAGTCATAAGATCAGATATTGGTGCGATGTGAGGGAAATGGGTCACTGAGACAATGCTAGTGGATTGAAACATGGCAGAGGCATTCTAATGAACATTCTGGCAGGGCCTTTAAAAACTAAATAAATACATAATAACCACATGACCTAGAAAGTTTTCTCTTGGCTTTTATTCCAGACAACCAAAACCTTGTATTTACGCAGACAGCATACACATGAATGTTTGTGTGCACAAATGCAACAGCAAACTGAAGCCCAGATCGCCTTCAATGACTGAAGGACAGACGGGGATATGGTGATGCACCACTATGACTAGGGAGAAAAGGAACAAACTAGAGATGACCACAACTACCAGGGTGATTCCAGAGAATTATAATGAGTGAAAAGGGCAATTTCTACAGAAATATTGTAGATTCTACATATAAAAATGATGGCATTCTCAAACTGCTGATGGTGTAGAAGCAGAGACCAGCCTGAGGTTTGCCAGTAATCCCAGACAGGAAAGACAGTGAAGAAAGTGTGTTTCCCAGGGACCTAAAAGTTCTGCATCCTAACAGTATCCATATCAATACATTAGCTGTGATACTGTAATACACTCTTATAGGATGCTTTCATTGGAAAATGGGAAAAGGCATGAGGGTGGTTTTTTTTTTTTTTTTTTTTTTTGTACCATTTCTTCTTTATATGAAAGGGAAGCTGCATCCATTAAATCTCAAGGATATATAAGACCTGGGCAATATACTGGTATGTTTAGACATACATGGAGTTATAATTAAGGAAGTAAAGGTCATGAATTTAGGAGGAAGCAAAGGACATGGAGGGAACTGGGGGAGTGATGTAACTGTGTAAATGTCTCAAAAATTTTTTAAATTAAATTTTAAAAAAGTAATGCAAATCTACAATTATCTTAAAAAGAAACCCTTTTTAGAGGTTCCCAACATCCTATTTCAACCTGATGGTAGTGAAATCACATCTCAGAGGGCTGAACAGGGATAGATCTAACACTTGGCTCCTTCAACCTTACCTCACACAGCTTTGGAAACTGAATGGCATTCTCTATGGCCAGAATCCTACAAAGGCCACCTCTGGTGTTAGCTCTCAGCTCCATGCAAAGACAGAGCAGCAGCTCATTTTTAATGAAATAGCACAGTATAGCCTCTAGCATACAATTTGATGTTTTGCAAATCTTTGATAATGTTCATCATTGCTGTGACTTTCAAGCTAGGTATCACAACAGCTTCTCAAGAAGAAATGAGAACTGTAACAACATGGCCTAGGACTTCCACACCTGTCCCATGGGTGATGGACAGTACCCATGGTTCCCCTCTGAGTTCCAGATAGTCACTCACACCCTGCTAGTCCTCTTTGTTCCAAGTTCACCTGCAAAGAGCGCTCACTGGATTATGTCAAACACAGGGAAAAAAATAGAGGGAAAAATGAGATGGCAGAAATGAGTTATCTAATAACATCAAAAAACAAAATCATAAATAAAATTTTAAATACATATCTAACATTTTCTTCAAAACTTTACAAAGATCTCACTTTACAAGGATCCATCTCATAGGGAAGAATTCCATACGAAACAGACATCAATAAAAAGGTCTTTTTCCCTTTCTTCCCAGAACAAAATCCTGAAGTGGAAACACAATATTGTAAAGTCCAAGCCATGAGCCATGTGTGGGGGTGTGCATGTGAGTGTGTGAGTGGATATGTGTGTGGTTGCATGTGTGCATGGGTATAAGTACATGTGTGGGTACATGTTTGGGTGCATGTGTGGGGGTGGATGTGGGAATGCATGTGTGGTTGCCTGAATTTGTATGTGTGAGAGTATGTATGTGTGGGGTGGCTGCATAGGTGCATGTGTGGATGCATGTTTGGGTGTATTGGTGTATGTGTGGGAGTGCATGTGTGGGGTGAGTGCATGGGTGCATGTGTGGATGCATGTTTCGGTGCATATGCAAGGGCAGATGTGGGAGTACATGTGTAGATGCTTGTACTGGTGTATGTGTGGGAATGCATGTGTGGATGCTTGCACTGGTGCATGTGTGGGGATGCATGCGTGGATGCTTACACTGGTGCATGTGTGGGAGTGCATGTGTGGATGCTTGCACTGGTGTATGTGTGGGAATGCATGTGTGGATGCTTGCACTGGTGTATGTGTGGGAATGCATGTGTGGATGCTTGCACTGGTGTATGTGTGGGAATGCATGTGTGGATGCTTGCACTGGTGTATGTGTGGGAATGCATGTGTGGATGCTTGCACTGGTGTATGTGTGGGAATGCATGTGTGGATGCTTGCACTGGTGTATGTGTGGGAATGCATGTGTGGATGCTTGCACTGGTGTATGTGTGGGAATGCATGTGTGGATGCTTGCACTGGTGTATGTGTGGGAATGCATGTGTGGATGCTTGCACTGGTGTATGTGTGGGAATGCATGTGTGGATGCTTGCACTGGTGTATGTGTGGGAATGCATGTGTGGATGCTTGCACTGGTGTATGTGTGGGAATGCATGTGTGGATGCTTGCACTGCTGTATTTGTGGGAATGCATGTGTGGATGCTTGCACTGGTGCATGTGTGGGAATGCATGTGTGGATGCTTGCACTGGTGCATGTGTGGGGATGCATGCGTGGATGCTTACACTGGTGCATGTGTGGGAGTGCATGTGTGGATGCTTGCACTAGTGTATGTGTGGGAGTGCATGCGTGGATGCTTGCATTGGTGTATGTGTGGGAGTGCATGTGTGGATGCTTGCACTAGTGTATGTGTGGGAGTGCATGCGTGGATGCTTGCACTGGTGCATGTGTGGGAGTGCATGCGTGGATGCTTGCATTGGTGTATGTGTGGGAGTGCATGTGTGGATGCATGGGGGCTAGTGGACAGTGACTGGTTTCTCAGATCCCTAAGTGTTCTGCCTCCATTCAGGTCCATGAAGACCGACAAATCCGTTATGAACACTGCTTTCTCAGAGTGCAGAGGAAGCTGACATCATCCCAGTCTACCTTCCTTTCCTCTTTATACAGAAACATCATCTTGATGTTCCAAAATTTAATTATGCAACTAGATGCTTTCTGTTGAGGTTTACAATGGAGGAGTGTACAGATAAGTAGGACAAGATCATAATCCTTCCCACAATACCAAGCATAGCTTTTCCTTCATCCTCTAATTCAAAGCGGAGTGTCTGAAGCTCCTGCTCCATCTCCATGCGGAAGCCCTCCATGGACTCTCGGTGTGCATCTTTCAGTGACTGCAGCTCTGCAGAATGTTTCTGCTGCAGGTGATTCTCCAGAGCCTGGGTGGGAGAAGCAAATTAATTCATTATGCTAGAGCATGAAAAACAAAACAGAAAGTGGCCGGGGAGCCTAGTGTTTAAGAAGACTCGCTGCCTTAGTTCATTCTCATCAAAATCAGATATAAAGTAACTGTAACTGGAAAACAAACTCATTGGTGCAATCAGTAGAAAATAATGAATTATGAAACCAGTTTGGCTCACCAGATTTTGTTGAATTTGGAAATACAGACCTTTAGCTGCAGGTAGTTTCCAAATAAAATCATTTTCTAAAGTTGCTAAGGATACAAATTACTAAAAACTAAGGAAAAGAACCTGTGTGCCTGGAAAGGAGAGGAGGGGGTTATCATTAAGAAAATAACACAAAGCCACTCCTCATTAGGTTTGCATAAGCACAGTGGGGACATTGGGGAAACATCACTCCAATCAAATCTCTTTTAAATATTTATTTTTATTTTATATGCATTGATGTTTTGTGAGCACATGTATATGTGTGAAGGTGTCAGAAGTCCTGGATCTGGAGTTAACAAACTGGTAAACTGCCATGTGGGTGCTGGGAATTGAACTTGGGTCCTCTGGAAGAGCAGCCAGTACTCTAAGCCACTGAGCTATCTCTCTAGTCCCCTCCAATCAAATATTTTACAGCTATTTTCCATAAATTATTTGTGTGAAGAAGCAATTCTCTGAGGGTAAGTGGATAGAAGTGTTTTCGTTGTCCCTGAAAAGTCTCCTCTACACTAACGTGTTGACCACTGGTGGTGTCTTTGGAGGAGCTCTTTGATCACTTAGGAAGCAGACTACCTGGAAGTAGAAAGTCACTACCATCAAGACTTTGGACACTGTGGCTTGCTTCCTGGACTACTGTGATGTACAGAGCTCCCATCACTACTAAATCTGCTGTGCTTCTCCCGACTCCAAACACAGTGCCAAAGGAAATGTTTTCTCCCTTGAGTTCCCCTGTGTTGTGGAGCCCTTCCCTCTGGGCATGGCATGGCCATGGTCTTAAAGTCAGAGCAGCTGTGCTGTCCTGAAGAAGACCCTGAGAGCTGAGTCTGCGAGCATTCTCCCATGGAGGGAGAAGAACTCCCCAGGCCCACAAGATCCCTCCCTGTCTGGTTAAAGGCTGCTGGAGGGAGGATATGGAGCATTTTTCTTTGGTGGTATGTGCCCCTGGAAGTAATCCCAATTAATCTCATTGGTTCATCAAGCTAGACTTGCTGCTTTGGCCTGCTGTAGGTGTCCTACTTGGAGTGAGAGACATTTTTTTGTTCTGTCTGCTCAAGGAAAAGCTAACACAACCTTCTGTCAGGTATTCTGTCACAGTGACATAAAGGCAACTATTTCAGATTACATGTGATAAGCTGCTTCAAAGGTTTTATGGATATAACAGCCTATACATGGTTAAGAGAAAATATGTTACCCAGGTCCTTACAGGTGAAAGATGAACTGACTGTGATAGAATTTTTGTTGCTTTTGTTTTACTGTAATTTCTAAAATGAAGTATTTTAGAGTCCTACAACTAGGGTTACATTTAATAGTTGTGGACTATTCCTTTACCCTGTGTGAAGACATGTCACTGTGATTAGTTTATTAAAGAGCTGAATGGCCAATAGGTAGGCAGGGGGTATAGGTGGGTTTCAGGGTGGAGAGAGAACTCTGGGAAAAAGAAAGCAGAGATGCCAGACATGAGAGGAGGCAGGATGGACAGCACAGTGCAAAGGTAACTGAGTCATATAAAAGGACAAAGATTAAAAGGTATGGGTTAATTTCAGTTATAAAAACTAGTTAGGGCTGGGTGGTGGTGGGGCACACCTTTAATCCCAGCACTTAGGAGGCAGAGGCAGGCAGATCTCTCTGAGTTCGTGGCCAACCTGGTCTATAGAGTGAGTTCCAGGACAGTTAGGACTGTTTCTTGGAAGCTGGTAGGTGGGACAGAAAAAGACTCACTTCTTTAACAGAGAAGTGGTGTTTTAAAGTTTAGTATTTGTTTGCTTATCACTCTCTGAGAAACGCTTTTCAGAAACAAAGCATGAGTGTCTTCCATTATGAGCAAAATGATTGTTTTGTTGCTACAGAACCTACAGCTAGATAGTTGGGTTATTTAATGACAACACAGAAACATTTCATGTTCTGATTCCTTCTGAAGATCAAAGCTAATTGATTTTAAAAATTCAAATGTATAGCATTTCATTACTGATAAGAGGTCATGTGTTACATCAATTCAAAAGTAGCAGCCAACGAGTAGATGAAGTTAGGAACGCTGCCAGGCCTTTCCTGATTCTTGTTTTTGTTTGTTTGTTTTGAGACAAGTTTTCATGTAGCTGAGCCTGCACTCAAACATGCTATGTAGCAAAGGATGACGCTCATCCTCCTGCCTCCACCTCCTGGGTGCAGAGATTATAGGAATGTAGCACCTTGCTCCGTCTATCAGGTCTAATTCTTAACCCAAGAGACCTCCTTGGATTTCTGGACATGATTTATAGACTATAACTTGCCATATAAGTAAGTGTTTCTTTGTTTTTTAAAAGCATAAAATTTTCCTAAATAATTCATTTATTTTTGTATACAAAGAAGATATTTTACTTCTACATGTCAAAGACTCTAAAGTTAACAACGGTCAAGACACAAAACAGGTTGAAAAGCTAAGATCACTGTTGAATTCAACCTTAATTTATTTATACCATTTCTTAAACTAGTGCTTGCACCTGAATGAAAAATTAATAAACAGCCTTTATAGGTAATTATGTATTATGATGAAAATGATAGTATGACTGGGTTCTTCTACAAAGTCTTTGTTATACTGAGGTCATTGGAAGAAGGTGAAAAATACATCGCTAAGAAATGAACTAAACAAAAATGAATCACATTCCAATTGTGACACACTAATGGTTTACAACTGAACAATGGGTGCTGTGGAAATAGCTCAGGCAAGGCACCTGGCTCAAGCATGATGACATAAATGTGGATCCCAAGTATCCACATAAAAAGCCAGGGGTAGCAGTGTGTGTGTGTGTGTGTGTGTGTGTGTGTGTGTGTGTGTGTAACTCCAGGATGGGAGGCCATTGAGACAGAGGGATTCTGGGAACTCACTGGCCAGCCAGCCTATCTGAATGTATAAGCTCCAAGTATTGAAAGACTCAATCTAAGGGGAAAAAATGTGTGTGGAGAAATGTAGGAAAACAGCTGACACTGACCCCCACTTCGTGTGCACATGCACACAACTATATGACACATACATACACACACCCCACTCCCTGACAAAATAAAGAAATAGATATCTGGAGATCCCAGCAGAGAATATAATAATATGGGGGCTAGTGAACAAAATTTTTGCTATGCAAACACAAGAACCTCAGTTTGTTTGTTTTCTTTCTGTATTTGTTTATGTGCTTGTATATAAATGTGTGTGATTGCAGATATACAATCTGTGTGTGTGTGTGATGGTTAGAAGACAACTCAGGGTGTTGCTCCTTGCCATCCATCTTGTTTGAGGCAGTTTCTTGCTGTTTTCCACATACAGTAGGCTAGGTGGCCCATGAGCTTCTGGGGTTTCTCCAGTCACCACCTTCCATAAGAACTACCCACCATAAGAATGCTGGGATTATAGATGCAAACTATTGTGCATGACTGTACATGACTTCTGAGGCTCTGAACTCTGATCCTTGTAGGGGCGTGGCAAATGTTTTACCCACTGAGCCCTAGCCCTGGACCTGAGTTCACATCCCTGGCAACCCTGTAAGAAGACAGGCAGGCCAGTGCACATCTGTAATCCTAGCCCTGGGAGATGGAGCAGGAGGATCCCTGGAGCTCATTGGTCAGTTTAGTGATCAGTGAGCTCCAGGCTCAATAAAAGTCCCTGTCTCCTTAAAACCAAACCAAACCAAACAGAAGAGCAGAAAAGGGAGATCCGTGGCATCAACATCTGGTCTCTACATATGCCTGTGCAGATGTACACATACATGTTTGCTCACACACAGAGTAAAAAGACTATGATAATAATTCAATAATATATTCACTTGATTTAAATCCATTTTAAGTTATTGTAGTTATAATTTTTATATAAGTTATAGGATTATATTACAAGGAAATTATATTTTAAAACATTTCAAATTCATTTTACCATGAATATTTCTTTTGTACAAACAGAAAGAATGTAAGGGGAAAATCCAAGAGAGAAAAACAAAATAAAACAAAACAAAAAAAGCAAAGCTATATATCTCGGATCCATTTCTCTTTTTGTAGGCCCAGAGTGAAAACAAATTTAGAATTTGATAGAAGTCTGAGTGTGGTGACACACATTTGTAATCCTAGCACTGAGGAGGCTGGGTCAGGAGGATCAGGAGTTCAAAGTCAGCCCATGTACATAAGTGAGTTCAAGACTAGCGTGGTCACATGAGTCTCAAAAAATCCAATGAAAAACTATTAGGATAATACACTATGACTAGAACAGTAGCTGAATTTATACCACAACTGTTTTAACTGTTAAGGAGCCAAAGATGTGCTCAGCTTGGTGTTACGATAAACAGACAATGTTAGCTCCACTCTCTTTGTCCACTATTATGTAAATCACTGTGTGTGCTTAAGCACGGTGACTGACTCCTACAGGAAGTCATGTTCTGGAGAACAATTCAGTAAAACAATATATAACATTTTAAAGAAAAATGAAAATAGAAGAAAGAGAAAAGGAAGGAAAACTTTGGAATTCTTAACGAATCTCAAGGCTGGTGGTTTCTACTTCATCTTCACACGTCAGGCCCACCCTGTGCTGCATATGGGCCACAAGCCATTACAAAGAGGAATCTAAAGGGTAATTATCATCAAGCTCTTGGACGAGCTTTGAAGGTGTTTCCCAGGAACCTCACCCTTTGTTCCTTTTCCTTCTCTTCTTCCATGGTTTGGAAGGCAAGGACATGTGCTTCCTTGAGGGACTTATGTCTCTGTTGGTGCTGCTCCTCCAGCTCCTCCAGCTCCTGTGTGAGTCGCTGGCGCTCCTGTGTGAATTGAGCTTGCAACTGCTGCAGAGATGTCTGCGACTGGCAGAGCTGCAGCTCCAGGTTCTGCTTGAGCAGGGAGATCTATGCCAGAGAGACACACAACAAGGAGTAAACACAAGGTGTGCTTCACAGACTCCCCATCCAAAGGAAAGGAGCAGCTCAAATAGAGCTGATGGGATAACTGTGGTTAGTTTAAATGTTCCATGATAAAAAAAAAAAAAACCTAACTGAAAAATTCATTCATTATTAGTGGATGTGTATATGGTGTGTGCATGTGTAGGTCACAGGAAAGCAGCATGGAGTCGGTCCTCTCCTTCTACCTTTATGTGGTTTCTGGAAACTGAATTCAAGTGCCAGGCTTGATGGAAGACAGTTTATATGCTGAGCCATCTTACCAGCCCCAAAATCTAATCTGCATAATCACTAGTTTAAGCCTGTTTTCAGGTAGTACCTTGAAAATGGCCTAATTATACTGCTTATAAAATAATACACAATTTGTAGATCACACTTGCTGCCATGTGTTTAACATTTATATAAAACAGGAGGCAATGAATTCGCTCTGAGGAGAAAGCACCAAGGGTTAAATGGCTCCACAGGGAGGCGGCAGTGAGATGGTTAGGGATATGGGTTTGGAATGAAGGTCCTCTTTCTCCACCATCATCTGTATCTACTCTCACCACAGTGTGGGAATTGGTGTCTCCACCCACTGTCGCTTAGAGTACTTCTACAGGGAACAAGCAGTAATCGCTAGCTAAGATTGTCTGAGGGCTGAAGACCTGCTCCTTCAAATGATTTGTCAGCTTGTTATTTATTAATTTATGTGATGTGCATGTGTTTGTATTCATGTATGCCATGTTTGTGAGGGTGCCCAAAGAGGCTGGAAGAGGTGATCACAGTCTATCCCCTCAAGCTAAGGTTATAGGCAGTTGTAAGCTACCAGGCATGGAGGCTGAGCCCCAAACCCAGAAGAGGAGCAAGCTCCCTCTAATCACTCAACCTCCTTAAGTGGAAAATGATTTGTTGTTCCTTTTGTCAACCAAAGACATCAGCCTTAATCTGTCAAGGATCATCTCTGGCTGTTTTAATTAAAATGAAGTCTTTCCTAAGAACAAAAAGCATGCCAGTATAGATAAGTGTGTATTACATACAAATACATACATGGAGCTGGTGAAATGGTTTGATTTTATCTATTTCTATTCTTATCCATGTTATTCTAACCTGAAATGGTGAAGGTTGACCTTACTCTAGAAGAAATCTGAAGAAAAGAGCAACTTAAGAGTCCAGATAAAAAGTTGTAAAAATACACCCTGTAAAAAACTTAAGACACCGTATTCACTCGTATCCACTCATACTTAAGCAAAACTGTCTGGGTCCTCCAAAGCCAACTGAAGAGGGCACCCTACACTGAGCAGGAGCCCTTTTCCTTTATATTGGCAACAACTTTTCTTTGATGTGCTGGTGGCAGTAACAGGCCACTTAACATGTCTCACAAGGAAAGCACAGGAGAAAGAAGACAGCCTGGGGATTCACCAGTAATGCAAAGCAAGATGAGAGGGGAAAACCACTCACTAGCAAACGAGTAAGGCTAAACACAGCAGTGAGCTTGGCTGCAACATGAACTACACGGAAGGGTTTGGGGCCAAGTTACAAAGGCACCAACCAGGATTAGTTAGAAGAGTCAGTGCATGTTGTCAAGGATATAGCCACACCCTGGTGAGAAATGACACAACTGACACAGATGGTGGATATGTACTTCCCAAGGAGCTACTTTAGCTGTTGAAACCTTATCAATTTCTTTTTATACAGTGGTATATCCCAGAGATTTTACAGATGTGGGGGCCAAAGGAGCAACCATGAATCTGACTCCAGGCAACTAAGCTTTTCAATAGTCTCTGAGACAGGGGCTTCCTCTGTAGCCCAGGCTAGCCTGGAACTTATGACAATCCACCTGAGTTCAGAAATTGTGAGTGTGAACACCACACATGGCTAACTTCACGAAAAAGGCACAGTCACCAATAAGGCCACGATGTGGGATAGGATTATAGCTTAGTGCTCACAATTTTATGCAAGGAACATCAGGGTGAAACAAATACTAAGGAAGTAAAAGGAAAGTTGTAAGAGGCCACAGCAGTAAATAGGACTGTGAACAGTGATCTGTAATTGTGGTCAGTCTATGCCCAGCCAGCAGGGTCTTGAGAGACAAAAGGCACCTCTCCACTCTCTTATGGGTTCAGTACCAATCTCAGCAACAGGATGGGCCTCATGGCGACTGCCTTATGTTTCTCTGGAGTTAACTTGTTAGGATACATATGGGAAAGGTGGGGACATTGTGTGTCACATGCATAATTTTAACTGATATTCTCAAAGTTCTTCCATGGCACCTGACAAAGTGAGAACTAAAAATCTACCTAGCATTTTTCTTACCATGCCCTGGCACAGCCTATGTTCATCTAGCAAGAGTATACATGAAGTTTTGCTTTGCCCAAAGGTACCAATGGGGCTGGCGGTGGCCCCAGGTTGCACCCTATAAACCTTCCTAATGCCGTGACCCTTTAATACAGTTGCTCATGTTGTGGTGACCAATAACCATGATATTATTCTCATTGTGACTTTATAACGGTAATTTTGCTACTGTTATGAATTCTAATGTAAACATCTGGTATGCAGGTAGGGGTCTGGACGCACAGGTTAAGAACTGCTGCTTTAAATGCTTCGGTTAGTAAGAAACCACCCACTCACTTGACCTGGCATATGTTTTACTGTTGTGATACCTGCTTTAAATGATTGTTGCCCGCCGTGGTGTTAATTGGACCACAACTGCATTGAATTGTATTAATCTATTTAAAGGTGAAGCTAATGAAGAAATAACATTAAAATAAGAGAATTGCCACAGTAATATAATATACTTTTAAATAATACAGTAATACATAATACTTTTAAAATATAAGCATTTTAAACTTTCTCTAGCTTTAATATTTTATAGTATAATATACTTTACCTTAAAAGAACTCCAAAATATTATTTTCCAACTTAGAATGTATGATTAATATTTGAATCTACACTCTAGACAGTAACAGACTCTATATGTAGGAAAAGACACCATGCAATTTAGTAGTCAAATCCACGTGTTTTTGTTTTCTGAACTTTGGAAGCACACAAACTCCAAAGTCTTTGCACTCATGCTCAGTGCAGCAATGTGAATTGTATGCAGAAGCCGTGTCATGCAATGCAGCACTGCAAGTGAGCGCGTTAGTAGAGCAGCACTAAGTAAATCAGCCTTTGTTTAGCAGGAAAATTGCATACCATTAAAAAGGACAGATCATGAGCAGAGCAGTGAGATATAAACTAATGTTTTCTAGCCACTATTTAAGCATCTGTGCGTAATATATAGTTTATATATACATATTGACATCAACCCGCATTAATTCAAAGTAAAGTAAGGCAGGGTCTGCATTAAATGTTTGGACAACCTTGACGGATAAAGAGCACAGAATATCTAGAAAGATACATTGAACAGTGAATGAGAAATAGCAGTTGCTTTAAATTGTATACTATACTCAAATTAAGTACTGTGTGTATGGTATTAGTGTCGTTGTATGCCATAAACTTTTGGACATTTGATCCCTTTACCTTTTTAAAAGACTTATTTTTATGTGTATGTGTGTTCTGTCTACATGTTATGTTTGTGTACCATGTGATGTAGGGCTGGAGAGGCCAGAGAATTCCCTTGTATCTGGAGTTACAGAAGGTTGTGAGCTGCCATGTGGGTGCTGCAAACTGAACCCAGATCCTCTAGAAGAACAGCCAGGGATCTTAGCTGCTAAGCCATCTGGCCAGCCCTATTTCATTCCATTAAAAAAATACAAGAACCTTTATTGCAAAAAAAAATAAATTCTTACTTTAACAATTCTTACCAATCTATGTAGGTGTGGTGTAATTAAGTAACATGCCCTCTATCTTGCAACAGTTTAAAAAGTTTAAGGGTACTGAAAATGATTGACATCCTCTAACTTCCACTATTGAGCAATACTTTTTTTGAAAGTAAGTCTCTCTCTCTCTCTCTCTCTCTCTCTTTTGAGACAGGGTTTCTCTGTGTTAATAGTCCTGGCTGTCCTGGAACTCTCTTTATAGATTAGGCTGGCCTCAAACTCTTGGAGATCTGCCAGCCTCTGATTGCCATGTGCTGGGATTAAAGGCGTGTACCACCACCACACAGAAATTTTACTATCTTTTAGAAAATATGGTATTAAAGATAGAATTTTGTATAAATATCAAAAAGAAAACACATTTATATATATAAATACATATATATATTAATGTAGAAGTTATCTTGCCTCACTGTGGAGCCCTTCACAAAGGCCCTGGGCCTTTACTGTGTGTGTGTGTTGAAGCTGTTCAACAAAAATACTGGAACTAATCTAGTCATTTATTAACTTAGTAGTATTCAAATATATGTAGATTGTATCATTAATTCTAGAAGTAAACAATTCAAATTGAGGTGTGACATGATACCAACACAGACACAATATTACCTACCAACTCTTTTATTTTTGCTTGTTTTTCATGTGATACTGGAGTCTTTTCCTTCTTCAGTCTTATTACAAGAATTAAGGATCACACAAAGTATACAAACAATCTGTCCTCAAGAGACAGCCTGTTGCAAGATAGTAGATGACCCTCAAACTTAGCTGAATATTATAGGAATCTCTCCTGGTGTCTGAGATTCTGGCTTAGCACATTGGATTTGGGCCCAGGCTGACCAACATGTTTGTTTCTAATTACCATAACTGCTGGGCTGGTCTTAGACTTGCAGATGCAGGGATGACACATACAGATTTTTCTGCCCATTCTTTTTTAATGTTCAAAACTGTTATTATTGTAACAGGGTCTCCTATATCTTGGGTGATGTTCTGGAAATCCTGATCTTTCTGCCTCTGCTCTCAAGTGCTAGAATCCAGGCATGCTAATGACCTCCCTTGTGTTTTTAATGGCATTCTACAGCAGTCACTGTCCCTTGCCCTCCAGGCTTTGTTCCATGTCAGTTAACAGAGTTGTCAGACTCTGCTGGGATTAAGTCATGT